GAAATAACAAGCGCAGTAACCATTGCAGGTAGCAATAATTTATTTTAATATTTCTATTTCTTAATGTTTCTTCTTTGTTAGACCGACAGCATTTTATACGAGCATAGATTTTCACTTAGAATTATTTAGCATATAATGTAATTCTTAATCGTAACCTCACCACTGCATAAATGCGATTTTATATTTTGCGAATGCGTAAAAAAATCTGCATCTGCGAAGTATTGTTTTCAGTTTTTATAAATCTATGGACTATGAAATATAAATTGTTATATGAAGTCGCTTTAAATTAATGCTTAGAAGTACTATTTTTCAATGTTTTATTTTTATTTTATATTTGATATCTCAGTATTTTTGCAGACCTCCAGAGCTCTTGTCAAGCAAGGATTTATCTTATAATTGATTCGGAAGAAATCCAATGCAATACTACGGGTATAACAAAGTAGCACAGAGTAGCCAAGCTTTATTTCAAGTATGTAAATAATTTATTTAAAAGATCAACTCAGACAAGATCTAATAAGGAATAATTTCGATTTGCCATTTAGCTGTCACAAAAAAACTTATGTTGAGGACCCAAAACTCGACTCTCGACCCTCTCGGGCAATTTAACAGTCGTCAATTGGACACACGTACACATTAGTTACAGAGACAAACCTAATTTAATTGAATTCAGCCATTTGAGCGTTCACTCTAATTAATATAAGAACGCGGTGACTATTTCAATAAGATTTTCCAAAAAATATTTAATGTACAGATTCGAGTTAGAATTTTATTATATGTATAGATTACCAGTCCATTCTCTAGAGTCTAGCCTCTAGGTCTACGCTCCTCCACGGTGAAATAACTTGATGGCTTTAGATTTAATTTAATAAGTGTATAGATAAACTATGACTTGGACTAATAAATCATATCTATTTTCATTTCAGGTTATTCAACTGATTTTTAAAAAAATCATCGTGATTCTTACGAGCGAGCAGGAAGACTGTCAATAGAGAAAGAAGAGAATATTTTAAGATTTATATTTTTACAAGATTGAATAATAATGTAATTAATATCCAAGTCTTGGCACATAAATAGTACTGTAATAGTTCTTTTTAAACAAATAACTAATTTGTTGATTGATAATTTAGTTTTAGGTAGTTTAAGTTATTTTATGACAGACTAGAATTCCGCCCGCGTTCAGGTGACCAAAAAGCAAATTCTTAGGTTTTACATATTAGTACACTCTTACAATGCAGTTTTTGTATTTTTTCTCAGAAATGAGATATTTTTCTGCGGTAAAAGTATCCTATATGTTGACCCGGTTAACTAGCTATCACCATACCAAATTTCATCAAAATCCCTCCAGTGGTTTTTCTGTGATGCGGTTACAGACAGACAGACACACAAAAATTCTAAAAACTGTAGATTCGGCCTCTGTATCGATCATAATAACTATTTCAATAAGATTTTCCAAAAAATATTTAATATACAGATTCGACTGAGTTAGAATTTTATTATATGTATAGATTTACTGTTAAATACTAAATATTTTATTTATTTGCAAAATAGGAAAGTAAAATGAGAACTAAAAATGTCTCCCTTCATTTGGAATAAGTTTGTCATGATGAGATAATTTTTGAGGTTATCACATGCATATGATGTACAATTTATGATGGAATTTATTGTATACTATATAATATTTAGAAAAATAAAATAATACGATCATACTGAATCAAGTTGTTTTCTTGACCAACTTCAAAAAAATGGAAATGTGGTAGGTACCCAACTCTGGTGTATGCTTCCTTATCTTGTTCTTGGCTTGGATTCATACGTTTATGTATATTTGAAATATACATACCTATGTATTTAGTGTAATTTAACTTTTGTGTGTAGCTGAAAATTATAGGTCATGATAATTCCTCCTATTCCCAGATAAGCTCATTATATTTTCGGGACAAAAAGTATACTGAATGGTATTAATCATATTTATATCAAAATCGTTGTAGTAATTGCAGTATGAAATGCTGAACAAATTAACGTACAGAAGAACGATGATGTTTAATAATATACTAAATACGTTATATGCTTACAAAAAAACTAGGGAAAAAAGTGTTCCGAATCCAGCGGCAGCACACATGCTCTCAAACATAATATATTATTTTATTTAAACCACCACATTCAATTCTTTCTTTTATTTCGTGGCTAAGCCACCATATTGCCAAATGATGTGAAAGAAACAAAACTAAGTAGGTAAAATATGACAGTTTATTTAGTTATGGTTTTAAAATTTTAACATTAGTTACATCGTATGTAACATATATAAAACTAGCACAACCTTCAAACTAAAAAAAAACAAACACTTTGGCTTTATGTTATCCATATCCGTACCAATATTATAAAAGTGTTTGTTTGTTTGTTTGTCTGTCCTTCTTTCACGTCGAAACGGACTGACGGATTGCCGTGATTTTTTGTGTGGAAATAGTTGGAGGGCTGGAGACTCTCCAGCCCTCCAACATAGGCATGGGCTACTTTTTACAGCGGGAGATTATCTAATTCCCACAGGAAAACACGATATAATACAATATAAAAAAATATTTATGTTCAGAATTACTTAAAACTTGATATTAATGCTCTTCAATAAAATTAAATAATACGTGTTTTAACATTTTTCGAAATTCATCCTATAAGGGGGCAAAATAGGGGTAATATTTTGTAGTTTTAGCGCGAGGGTAGCCGCGGGTTCTGCTAGTAACTAATAATTTTGATGGCTTGATTATAGCCATCAAATTATTAAACCATAATAAATTTTCAAAAGTGTGAGTACGATTTTGACTCGCACATCGCACGCATTGCACTTTCGCAATACATAGGTACTTCGTTATTTGCAAAAATAAGTTCGTGTTTTATACTTCATACTTCTTAAAAATATTCTGGAAAACAAATCTTAGCGATCGTAACTCAAATTATCCTCATCTTAAAAGATATTTAACGTATAAATATATTCTGTAAATTAATCTACACATATAATAAAACTGTAGAGGTCAAATGTCTATACATAGAAAAACAATTATCTGTCTGTTTGTCTGTTTGTACGGGCTAATCTCCGAAACTGTTGAACCTATTTAAATGAAATTTTGTATGGTCTTTATCCCTTTATATGGTCAACATTTTAGATACTTTTCATCCCGTAAAATTAAAGAGCTCTTTAAAGAAAATCCTTCCTCAGAAAATTTAAGAGAATAGTTAAAAAAACTATAGTAACTTATACAGCTTAGTAAGCAACAACTTATGCCTCTAATTTAGTAAAATTAGGCATACTGGTACCTATTATTGCCGGTCAAACAACGGGTTACTTTTTATCCCGGAAAAATGTACGGTTCCCGTGAAATAGATCTGTTTGTGCTCTTCTAGAGGCGAATCAGACCGAAGCGAGAGTGAATCGCTGGTTTTCTTTAAGATTATGTAGCAAGCTCTACTACCTCTATTTTTGCAAATTTTTTTACTCCATCATTCCAAAGTTAGAAAGCCAAAGTACAATAATATAACTAACATACAATGATTACGACTTTAGATTCATGTGACTCATCTAATATGGGTTTGTATAAACATTACTACCACCCTCTTACCTCTTTAAGGGATGAATTTCAAAAAATCTATTATACATATAACATACTTTTTACATTATACATTAATTCTTTATTTTTTATTTTAAAGTTAAATACCACTTTCCAATTGTGAATTTCATACATATAAATTACAAATTGTCATCCCCTATTTTATCCCCTTACGGGATGACTTACAGGCTTTCCTGTAAGTCATCCCATAAGACTTTGCTAAAATACGAATTTATTTAATTAATTAAATTGAAGATCATTAATACAAAATTTCTAGTAATTGGGTATGGTCATAATTTTTTTCCCCACATAAACATGACGACCGCCTGTCACTCTTTCTAAAAAACTAAAATCTAATATACATATTGTTTTATTTCTTATTTTAAAGATAAATATTTCTTACCCCCTTTGATATTATTTTTTTTAAATAAATATTGCATCCCAGTAACATAATATTAACATTTGTAAAATGGAAAAAATAAAGCCAGTTTTACTGAAAAGCACTTTCAAATAACAATAAAGGAGTTTCATGTTAATAATTTCATCATTTTTAAGATTTCAATATAGCAGGTGGTGCGATAAAGGCTACTTGGAAGAAATGCATAAAGTGGAAAACAAGTATTTCCTTTACCCTTTTAGATCTTCCCACAAAGACTGAGGGTTTTTAAGAGAGAGAGAGGTACGGAAAATGTACAGAGTAACGATAGCCTGAGATGTGCAGATGCACTTCATGAAAAATTAAATTGCTTTGTAAATCAGCGAATTAAGAAATATAATAACAAACAACATAGAGCGTTTAGAATTGTAAGCTGTGGTGAATTATAATCAAAACGAAGAATATAAAAAAACAACAATTTAGTGTTTCAATAAAAAATATAATAATAGAAAGTTACAAGCAAAAAAAAGAATTTCTTATTTATACCAAATTAGTTATACCCATCTTTCACTTTCTTACCCCTTTACTACTTCTTCATTTACCCCTATGGATGAATTTCGAAAAATTCTAAAACACATGTTTATTTAATTCTATTCAAGAGCGTTAATGCCAAGTTTCAAGTAATTCTGATACTTTCCGGGTCGCACCCGAGCGAAGCAAGGGTAAGTAGTCGCTGGTATAATATAAACTAACACTGTGTTGATATTATTTGTTATATTTGCAAACAACATCGCCACGAATACATATGTGTGTTACAACCATGATTTTTATAACGACATAACAAATTGGACGTTTTTCAAAATTGAGTGGGCCGGTTTTTCTTATATAATTATTATTATTTTATATTGTTCGATCATTCCTATAAATAAATAAATTATTAAATGTATTTGGATCAATTGAATGTTTTAAATATGAGTTTTTGTGTGACTTTCAATACAAACACCACCTTGAATTTTAACTCGTGACGTGAAATGGTTACCAAAAATAAATTCATGCTCAATTTTATATTTAGCACATTTGCTCGGACCACGACGACTTGATCAGTTGGACGGGGATTTTGTTCTGATTGCAAATAGTTTTTTTTATCAAGAATTAATACTGTTTAGTGACATTAGTAAATATAAACAATAAATATACGGAATGGTGAGCCAAGGATGTGTTTAATGTTGTCTATACGCTTCAAGGTAATTCCATATTACTAGTCCAAAATAATCTAGGCCAGTGATCATAATATACAACTTATTCACACCTATTTTCACACTAACCCACGCAAACACAGCGTGTTTTCAGTAGCAGATGCTTAGCTTGAAACGAAATGTTGTGTTTTTAGTTAAATGGTGATTTTTTGCGGGGTCTAGGTGAACATAGGGGAAAATTTATATAACCAAACGCAACTATGGAAGTTATCCGTTCTGGCATAGTAACATGGTACTTATAAGATTTTGTAATATTATTAAAAATTGTCAATAACTAAACATATGGAATCTGAATTGTCGCCAGATAATCAAAAAAATTTACCACCAGTGCCGATAAGAACATATCAATGGGAAGATTTGAAAAGAGATCGTGAGGCAGGTGGTTATCCTTGGACTCATCTTTTAAAAGCACCGCTCGAGGGAGAAATAACTGCGGAAGATATAATTAGAGAAACAACGCCAAGAAGAAGCATGTCACGAGAGTTTTCAAAGTCTCGGACCCATTCACCTGTTGATGGAGGAGTCCAAAAAATACTTAATCTTGATTCATCTCCTGGCAGCAGCCGAAAACACGGCGAGGAAGGTGAGGATGAAGGAGTCCATATACCAAACTTTTCCAAGGAAATATCTTTAGACTCTGATGAAGATATGGCTATAAAAGTACCCAATACTATAATAACAAAGGATCCAGAAAATAAAAATAGCAATTATTTACCATCTCCGGTGGAAAAACCAAAAAGCGTTTCACCAAAAGGTATTTTAAAACGACGTATACCTGAAGAACAATATATTGGGGTCACAGAAATAAGAGAAAAAACTAAATGTTGTCACCCCTTGGTCAACAAAATAAAACATTTAGCTGACAAAACTATACAAAAACTAGATAGGAGTGAAATCGACAAGTCACCGATATCTAAAAGAAAAAAGAACGAAGATGTTCAAGAAATACGGCAGTTAAAAAATTCACCTGGAGCAGTCCGAAGACAGAAATTTAGTGCTATTAAATTAGGAGATTCTGATGAAATGAGCAAAACTATGAGTATAGATTTACCTTCTCCTCGGAATAAAAAAGAGCATATTTATGAAGATATTGATGAAACCCCAGATACACAAAAATCCTTACAAGTCTCGCATGATGGAAATCAATTTACCGATCAAAACGTAAACGTTAAAGGAGCAGATTATAAAGAAAACGATAGTGTAGCGGAAAAAAAATCAATTGCATCTCAAGATCCAAGCTTAGTTGCTGACGATAATACATCATTAAAAGTTGATGAATGTATAATGGAAAAATTACATAAAAAAAATGATACAAATAATGAGGCCACACATTTAGATGAAGAGATGGATTCTGAAGAAGCAAATGTGGAAGAAATATTTCAAAATCAAAAAGACGATGTAAGACGTAATAATGATTCTCCAAATATAACCATAACAGAAATATTAGATGACGATAACAATTTCGAACATTCAACTACGATACCCATAGAAACATCACCAAGTCCTAGTCCACGTAATGTTGAAAGAAAAAAAACAGATACCGAACCCATCGATAAAGATTGGTCTCGACCTAACAGGTAATCTTTTACTTTTCTTTAAATATATATTAATTTTCATTATTGTGTGTAGTCTACGTAACAATGACATAACACTCGCGTTTCAACCGCAAAGCGAACGCTCTTTCTTACATATGTATGCCTGATAAATATAGCTCGGTCCGGTTCGTCTTCCTGCACATCAGGTAAGCTCTTTAAAATTGTCGTCAGTGATCATCGTTCGCAGTTGCTTTCATGCCAGTGAATTAGTTCATTTACTGATCGGCTTTTAAAAAATGTTAATTTAAAGATTTATTGTTGGTTTTTCAAAATTATTTTTTTCATCAGTAAATATATAAATATTAAACAACTATGCCTCGGGTGTAAACATTGTTTGACCGTGCAATAGTTATGAGTAAACTGCGTCGATGGACATCCGAAGGTGGGACTCCTTTAGAAAAACCTTTAAGACCAACAAGAGAAGGCAGTGTTCAATTATACACACCGGAAGTACGTTGTGCATGTCAGTTTTTTCAATGTGATTCATTATTACCGGAAAGAACTAATCCTGTCGGAACCAGACCTACGTCGCGTGCTAGCAATATTATTTCAAATGTGAGGTAAGGCGCGAATATTATAATAATAAATAAGCGTATTTATCGATATTTAATGACGTACAAAATAATTATGATACCACTTATTCGTATTTTGCCCGGCGACTGCTGCGGCTAAAACGAGCGCCAACCGTTGGCCTAATTGTAACTTTAGAAACATGTGTGAGTGTATTTATACCTAAAAACTTTTATATTTTATTTCATATCATCTGAAATTTTGCGATTTTATTTTTAGTACTACTGCAATAGAGTGTCATTGCTCGGCGAAATCATTTATATATGAAATTGCAATGCGTTTTTTTTTTGTTTGCAATACAACTTTAATTTTCTATTATTATAAGTATATATGTTATTTATTTCCAGTGATCATGAATACGAAATAATAGAGAAGCCGCCCCCAAATATAATATACACGGCACCAAGTGTAGATGAAAAACCAGCCATGGTTAAAACCGACGATGAATTATCGAGTACAACGTCTTTAGAGCGTAAATATTTACAACATACTTCGGATGAAGACGACCAAATTAATGACAAGGATAACATTGATATTGACAAAAATGAGGAGCTGATAAATGCGGAAACATTACAAAAAGATATTGAGGAGCGTTTTTTTGCAAATACACCTTCCACGGTTTCGAGAACAGAATGTGAAGTTAGTACAAGTCAAGTCGATTCATCTGCTTTGGAAAATTTGCCTTTGAAACGAAGTAGTCGTAATAAGAATGCTGAAAATAATGACAGCAAAATACAACAACGTATTAAGGAAGGAACTGGCAAATTAAAAACACAAGCTGGAAAACTTAAAACAAAGTTGCATAATTTAAGAAATAAACAGTTTAGTTTACCCGACCGACCTAAAATTAACTTTCCTGAACGGCCTAAATTTAAAATGCCAGAACGGTCCAAAATTTCTTTTCCAGATCGTCCTAAGTTTACATTACCAGATAGACGAAAATTTAGTTTACCCGAAAGGCCTAAATTTAAATCAATTAATTTAACAGGAAAACTATCTATGGGTGATCGTAAAAAATTTAGTTTTCCAGAGCGACCAAAATTTAGTGCTCCCGATTTACCAAAATTTAAAATGCCTGAAAGACCAAAAATAAATTTTTTCAGCATCGGCAGAAAAAAGGAAAGTAAAATTGAGAGTAATATGTCGGAATCAACATCTGATTTGCAAAATGTCGCCACTGTAGATTTTGAGGCAAAAACATATCCGAGGTTATTCGGTCGAAAAAAGAAATCACAAATTGTGAAAACATCATCTTCACCCACATTGAATAGAGAAGAAACACCTCCCCCAACGTTTACGTTCACCAGAGTAAAGGATATAAAACAGAGTGAGCCTGCTAATTATATACCAGACAGTCCAGAAGAACCCCGTGAATATGGAACTATTGACAGTGAAGCCAATTATGATGCTGAAGAGGGGGAAAGGGAGCGATATAGTGCGACTTACGATTTTGATAAATTAGATCAAGAAGAATATCTTGATGAAAGCGAAATTGAAGCTAACCAAGACGAACCCACAACATCACCCTTAAGCAAACAAGAATACACACATATAAACGAAATTAATAATGACGAATTTTTTGTACGACCGAGAGGAATTTCTCACGAAAATATTCAAGTTCGAGAATACTTAAGTGACGAAATACGACAAGCATTTAATATCCCAAAAAATATTCTCGCTACAATGGGAAGTGACACGAGAATAAATAATGAAAATATTTATGCTAACGAAGTAGAAGAAGATCCAGAACTAGTGAATGATGGTAGAGAAGATATTGCCTATTCAGCCGAGGATTTGAACGAAAGAGACGATGGATATTACACATTCCCACCAGTTAGGCCCTCAAGAGCTAAACGAAAGAATAAAGAGACTGAATCAATTAAATTTATAGATGACAGTATAAGCGCAGGTATGCAATTTAGCGAGGTAGACTTAGGACTATCACAAGATCCAATAGATGAAAAGCAGATACATGAAGGCATTAGCTACAGCGAAGATTTTAACAGATCAGCTCACGATATAAGATCTACTGATCTCCGTTCAATACATGAATACGCAAACGATGATGTCATAGAATACCCAGATAGTATTCTAATACAATCTCAAACTCTTCCAATGCCCCCGAAAAGAAAGAAAAAATCAATATCAAAGGATATTATGAAACATTCATCTTTGAATGATTTCAACAAATTTAATACAACAGAAACGTGGCAAGCTCCAAAGGATCAGATTGAAGATGTAAGTATAACTCTTATAATAACTAATAACTACTTATAATATTATAAACCTAACTGTATTAGCATCTGTGTAGTCCTTAATTTGACCGCAACCAAACAGGCATATTTTTAAATTGTTATACTGATACAATTGTTTAAGCTCTATCTCAACTTAATATTAATTAATTATCTAGCAGAACCCGCGGCTTCACTCGCGCTAAAACTACAAAACAATCTCTAAAAAGGTAGTTTCATACAAACTTTATCCTCTATTTTACCCCCTTATAGGATCATTTTCCAAAAATGCTGAAATATGTATTTATTTAATTTTATTGAAGAGCATTAATATCAAGTTTCAAGTAATTCTTATCATAAATATTTTTTGGATTGGATTGTATTATATAACGTGCTTTCCCGTCGGAATTAGTTAATCTCCCGCGGTAAAAAGTAGCCTATGTCACTCTCCAGCCCTCCAATTATCCACACAAAAAATAACGCCAATCCGTCGCTCCGATTCAACGTGAAGGAAGGACAAACAAACAAACACACTTTCACATTTATAACATTAGTATGGATATTATTATTAATAGTTGTGTAACACAATAATTTATTATCTATGAACATTTAAGAAACACGTAAAATTTGACAATTTAAACAAAGATGTTATATTTAAATTATTTTAAGTAATGAAATATTCATATTTGTGACGGGGGATAGAAGTTAAATTCAGTGCGGTCAAATTTACTGGCAGATGTCCAGTAGATACATATAAACTTTTGGACGAATCATGAATTGTATTTTTAGACGCCCGTAGTCATCTTATTGTTAACCCAGTTAAAATGAAATGTGAATGTTTGATTTTATGCAGCCTCGCTTATTTATTCCCAAGTAAAAGTGTATTATTTATCTAAATTAATGTCTCAAAATGTATAAAAAACATTATATCTTAGAAGAAATGGCACGGTGTTGTGAATTACTAATATGTCTGTGCTACACCTCTGATTACAGCTAGTAGATAAAACATAAAAAAATTACTTTAAATATATTTTTTTATTTTAATTTTTTCATTTTAGTTTAGACGTATAAGTAGCAAAGTAAGGAGAAAGTTTTTGAATAACTCTGATAGTATGTTGTCAAATTTTATATGAAGCAACTAACCTAACGAGTAGAACACTCACTTTTATTATTAACACTAACAATCAGCCTCCGAAATTCAATTTTAATGTATTAGGCTTTTCGAATGAAACCAAACAAGGTCAAACTCAAAGTATTTATTAGTAGCCGTTGAAGAGTTCCACTAACCATCTTTTGGCCTCACCATCAGATCAGTTTCAAGATACCAAATTTTTCAAAAGTATCAAGACTCAATAAATCCGTGTACATTCTTCAAATTTTATAGTTTTTCCTGACTTTCTCAAAAATGGTATATTCTAATGTCAAAGAAAATGTTATGGGTCAAACTCGAGACTTACCTCGTCGTTTTATTAACAACACAGTTTAAAGGAGCAAAATCAGTCTAGTCATCTCCGAGAAATCTATGAACATACATAAAAAATATACGCAGGTATAGACGAACATAGAAACTCCTCCTTTTTGGAAATCGGTTATACCACCATTATGTTTCTTATATAAAATAACAGTAAGGGAGCTTATTGAGCAATTGCTAAGTAAACACAAGATTAACGAAGACTTTAAAATATTCAAACTATTTATACTATATATGTATTAATATTTTATATTTATATAATTCATTATACACTTTACAGATTATCGTCTACAGAACTGAACATGAGTATGTAGTCCCTGGCGCGGAGACAGCAGTGGCAGATCACAGCCCAGTACCTCCAAGGCGTACTCGTTCTAGGAGTTCCCGAGCAACATCTATATGTGACGATGATAGAACTTCCCATGGTGCTGAATCACTTATTCTCGATACTCAAATTCCAATTACGGATGAGAATGAAATAGAAGTTGAAAGTGGTAAGCGTCAAGAGAGTCCTGGTTATGCAACAGTTGATAAAAGTCAATATATACCTAGTAAAACTTCTAGACGGTCAAAAAGTCAAACGCCACCTATTAGGCATCGCAAAAGTAATAGTTCTGAAAGAAAATATTATACTGTAAGTGGCAGGAAATCTTTTTTGCCCAGTCGTCCACCACGAAAAAAATCATCCACGAGCCTCATGACATTAAATAGTTCTACAAAAGATTCTGTAAATGGAGACAATTCGCAATATGATGAAATAGATGAGCCACATGTCGAAGAAGTGCATAAAATCTTACAGTCTGGAGAAGTAGTCAATAAAATGAAGGATAGGCCCTTACCCCCACCTCCACGCCCCCCCAGGGGACCTAAGCGAAAAAAAAACTCTGAAGATTGCGAAGAACAATTAGTTCACAAAACTGAGATACCAACTGGGACCAACTCGGAGCACACTCTTGATAAACTTGGCTCACAAGAAATAGTAGAAATTGAAGTTTCGACACAAACAGATCCGCTGCCGGATGATATAGATTTTGATTTAGGAATAGACAACTTTGATATATCAATGTCTAGTTCTCTAAGAGACATAATTGATGAAGAATCTATATTGGGTAAAGGTCGTGAAAAATCTACTGATTCGCGTCCCATTTCACGCACAACATCGAGATCTGAAAAATCATTAAAGCTATCAGACCCCAAAATATCGCATATTGGAATAACATCACCAACCGTAATCTTAGTGGAAAAGAGAGTTTCTAGTCCAACAAGAATAAATGAAAGGGAAGAAATTTTAACAGAAGCGTCATTGACGGTTCAACATATTGACATAGACGAATCTCAAGTTCCAGAAGTCCCGCCACTGCCAAAATCGAAAGTAACACCAAGTGCGAGTAGTAAAAATATACCAGTCTCGGAAGACCAGTGCGCTCTTGAAAGGCCAACTGTTATTAGTAAAGATGTACAATTAGACAACTTAGTTACACAACGACTTCAAGTAACAGATCTAGATGTTGGTCGATTAAACGTTTCCGAATTACAAGCAACAAAAATACTCGTGTCTGATATAGAAGGTATGACGTTAAATGTAAACGAACTAGATTCGAAGAGTGGACACATTTCTGTAAGTGGAATCGAATTCTCTGAGAAAATAATAGACGAAATTGTAAAAAAATTCACTGAAATTTCGACAAATATTTTACCTCCTGTTCCACAAAAGACGGACGAAATTGAACCAATAAGACCAGTAAGTAGAGAAGAAGAGACACAAACGGAAACATCTATACCAGAAATTAAAACAGAAACAAGCATTGCTGCTGAAGAAAGCTTACCACCATTACCATCTTCACCTCGCGAAGAAAATATAGAAGAAACTGTTCCACCGCAAAGACCCCCTCCTCCAGACTTAACACCGCTACTCTATTCTTATATTCAAGATATAATCCCAACCACATCTTTACAGCCTCGGTCATTTAGGGATCGGCATTTTAATGAGCTTGATGGTCAACATCCAACTCCTGCACCTCCTAGACGAGGAAAAAGAAAACCTGCGATTCTGCATAGTGAATCCAGTTCAGAGGATAGTAAGCCAAGGCCTTCACCGAGGCGTATACCACCGATTCGAGCTCATGAGCCCTCAATTACAGAAGCTGGAGCACAATTCCTTCGAGTGTGTCAAACGTCTATAAGTAGAACTTTCAGAAATATATTTAACGCCTTTATGTCCTATATTAACGGAACAGAAGATAAGAGAGACATTCAGATGGCGATGGTTATTTTTCTTGTACTAATAGCAGGTTTAATCATGTTTGGTTTAAGTGACAGCCGTACCATCCACCATCACCATTGGGAATTCTTTAATCCGCCTGACGGAAAGCAATAATAATTCTTAAACTTTAATCTGATCGAATCTTTATACAAAATTTATTTGATTATTTTATACTTAAATTTATGTAGTAGAATTAGAACCAAATTACAATTCACTTACTGAGCATTTCCTCATATCCACATTTTCCAATATCTTTTAATAAAGAGTCCATATCGACATCGACATTTGCAAAGTATTTATTATTCTATAATTCTTTACTTAGTCTGTAATGTAGCCATAAGTATCAATTAATACGAATTAAGTTTTTGATAGATTATACCAACTTGCAATGTTACCTCGCGCCTAAGATATATTTTGCTTGTATATTGTCATCGATAACCTAGTCTCAATTTTCAAAAAATATATAAAACTTTTAGTACTTCAAAGTAACTACCTAATATTATTTAATAACTAAGTAACTTTTACAATCTAAATTCTAAAAGGAAATAATAATATTTGTACTTATTTAGTTTGCTAATGTTATCTACTCCTGTAAAGAATTTGTTATTTTTTATTACATTGTTAATTCAATAAAATGTAGTTCGTGGGAAAATGTTATTTATGCATTTTGCATCGGTCGTTTTTGTTGTGTAAATTGTAATAATGTTAAATAAAATTTGTTAATAAATATGCTTTTATTTTTATAGAAATACCTATAATAATAGTAATTGCAAATATATATTATATACCAAGCATAAATATATAATATTCCCTAAGGTAGAGTTCAACTTTTTTTACCACTTTCAATCACGTTATTTTTGATTGCTCAAGCAGGGTAGTACAGGTATTTGAGGCTCTTAAGTTTCATGTTAGTCCAAATAAGAAATGGAAAAATTATAGCTATCAGGTGAATATGTTTTTTAATTTATTTTTTTGATCAGTATAATGAATAAGCTTTCTATGGCAAAATACTCGTAGTTATTTTCGATTTTCTCCACACCAATGAACATGTTATATCAAGAAGAGTCTATCGAGTGAAAGACGGTTTTGCATGATGTTCAACTATTTGGAGTTTAGGTGTAATTTCAGTCCCACCTGTGTTTATCATCTGGAACAAAATAGTACAGCAAAGAATACATAATTCCTTTTTTGATGTTTATTTAATGCTCTCTAATCTTCTATGAAATATTTCTAGTTCCTTAATCCCTCCACGACCGCGGACACGCCAGCGTTACAGTGAACAATAGATTTCTTAGTAATTTAATTTCTTACAAATTTACCTGGAGGTGTTAATACTAGGTATAGATAATAGAATATGTTATACTACTGCACGCAATAGATAATACATTAGTATGATGTCATCTGTGAGACAGGTGCCTCATTTTATTATAAGAAATGACCTCGTGTGTATACTTTGTGATATGCCATATAATCTATACATATAATAAAATCGGAACTAAGCCGAATCTGTACATTAAATATATTTTTGGAAAATCTTATTGAAATAGACTTTATTATTGATACAGAGGCCGAATTATATTTTTCAGAATTTTTGTCTGTCTGTCTGTCTGTTTGTTACCGCATCACGGAAAAACCACTGAAGGGATTTAGATGAAATTTGGTATGATGATAGCTGGTTTGGTATGATGATAGCCGGGTCAACATATAGGATACTTTTTACTGCGGGAAAATATCTAATTTCTAACAAAAATCTATATGGATCGAGATCCGGCTACAAGATTGCTACGTTCATATGGATCGAGATCCTGCTGCAAGATTGCTACGGGACAATAAGTTTTGACCGGGGTGCCTATTCAAATGTGCCCGCTAGTATGTTTAATTAACTAAATAATAGTCGACTTTTTAAAACAAAAACGATGCTTCTGTTGTGCACAGAAATATACGTACAGATCTTGAAAAGTGATAGCTGCCGTTGCGCATTTGGCCGCAACCTCTTCGCAGCCAGGTGTAAGCAGGTCATACGAGTATTTTGTTACATTTATACGTTCATCGCGTATATTCATCATTTATACTTATATCAAATTAAAGCTATTTTTTTTCTGTGCATGATAAAACCTCTCACCTATGTAAAAATGGCCCCAATGGAAAGAAAAGAAGGAAAGAATATAATAATAGGGGTTAAAGTATGAAATTGCCGATTTGTACTGAAAAATTGATATTCGTTTTATTCTTAATTTAACATATTTATTTAATCAAAATAATTACCATTATTATCTATACATTGCTGCCATCAAATAGGAAGGTCATTTATGCCTTTGCGATAGAACTCTGGTGATCTAGATTCGACAAACTGTATGAAAGCATTTTGTACTGCCTCCTGATAAGAAAACTTTTTATCACGTAGAAAATTGTCCAAATCACGAAAATAATGGTAGTCCGTTGGAGCAAAGTCTGGCGAATACGGAGGGTGACGAATGGTTTCTAATTGCAGTTCCTGTAGAGCTAAAACGGTATTTCGTGTTGTATGAGGTCTCCCGTTATCATGGAGCGATAATGCTGAAGATCGATTCATGAGTCGGGGCTGTTTCACTGCTAGTTTTGCTATCATTGTTTGGAGTTCGGCACAGTAGACATCTGGCGTTATTGCTTAACCAGATCGGAGAAAGCTATAGTGAATAACACCATGCTGAGGCCACCAAACAGTTACCATTACCTTTTTATTGGTAAGCTTTGCTTACACAGACAGGACACTGTTGCGGCGTTTGACCTGGGGTCAGCCATTGCATTTTTCGCTTACGGTTATCGTAAAGAATCCACTTTTCATCACATGTCACAATTCGATCCAATATTCCTTCATTTCTGTATCGATTCAACAAGGTAACACAAGTATCAACACGCGTTTCTTTCTGCAGATCAGTCGAATCATGAGGCACCCATTTTTCATATTTTTTTTATTTTGTTGATTTGACGCAAATGAGTCAATATTGTTGGTAAGGTAACATTAAACCATGTCGCTAATTCCTGGGTAGTTTGGCTTCCACCATCTCTTTCAATTCATTGTTATTCACCTATGTGGGCGGTCTTCCACGTGGTTCGTTCTTCAAATCAAAATTTCCATCACCAAAGCGTTTAAGCCTAAATCGCACGGTGCATCCATTAGCAGTCCCCTCTCCAAACGCAACATTGATATTGCGAGCTGTTTCTGCCGCGTTATTTCCGCGTCGGAACTCGTATTCAAAAATCACTCGAATTTTCGAAGTATCCATCTTTCTCGTCCAATCTGAATAAAAAAACAACTGAAAGTCGATAATCGAATGTTGCACAGTTTTTTCAAGAAGAACTACATAGGTACCATATGAAAAAAGTTTGACTCAAAAATCTCAAACCATGAAGGTTCTATGTCAATTCGAAGTACCTACCTATTACAATAAAACGGCAATTTGATACTTTAACCCCTATTATTATATATCATTTGTCAGACAATAACAACGGTTACTATGGCAAAGATAAGTTAAAGTGAAAGAGAGCGCGTTTGTTAACTGTTTGTTGCCGACAGACAGACAAAAATTCTAAAAAACTATAGATTCGGTCTCTGTATCGATAATAATGTCAATTTCAACAAGATTTTCCAAAAAATATTTAATGTACAGATTCGGCTTACTAAAATAATTTTGCCTATTTTTTGGTTTTGTTTGACCGAAGTATACGCTAGGTGTCGCAATAAACGGAGTGCTTGGAGAGCTGCCTAGCGTAGCTTGAGATGTGTTAAATATATTCACAAAATAGCAAATTGTAAAAATAAAATAAACTTCGGTGATCGTGAACTTTTGGATCCGGTCTCCGTGATCTAAAATAACTCGGTACTTATGACATTTTCAATTAATTATAATTAGTTAAAAGTAAAATTGTAAGCTCATAATATGCTTAATATGATTTTTTGCAAATCGAAATATAAATAGAAATAACCAAAAATTTTAATTAAAGTGGTCTTAATTATTGTGTAACGCTACCTATTGAAATATATCGAAACTAATTTATAATCGTTCCTGAATAGATTTTTCCGATGATGTGCTCAATATACAAAAATTCAATTTTAGACATGCTTTTTTTAATCATGTGCATTTTTATAGTAATTGTTGTATAATGCGACATCTATGGAACACGTTGAAAACTTCAGAGAGATGTATAGCTTCAGTATTTTTAGTAAAATAAAGCAATCTATCAGTAATGATATCAGTTTACAATACACATACAATTCATGTAAAAATATATTATCGTGTTTACTCTTTTGTTTTGATTATTTAACTCATATACGTCACAAACAATAAATCCTATATTTCCGTGTTGTAGCGTTCTCTTGTGTCAAAATAAAGTACTAAGTGCTACGTACTGCAAGAGCCATCTATTGTATTATCTTTGAACTACGTTAAAGCATTAACACAAACTAAAAATAAGTCATATAATATTTTAAATTTTATAAAAAAATATACACCAAATTGCTACTTACCTTTATTATTATAATTTTTGAAAAATATAACAATACAAAAAAATATTAGATTTAGAAATGACATTGACATTTATGAAAAGTTTGTGAAGTAGGTACCTACTACAAATTCGTTAATATTTATTTATTTCTATTCAATTAAACTAAACTGGCTATTGCGTCATTTCTAGGCTATGTATCAAAATTATTCTAATTTAGCTATAATAATTATAGCTTCTAATTAACCTAATTTTTAAAGAAAATAATAAAGAGGGCGCTATGATCATCTGCAACAAAATGCTCAATTAAAATTTGAAAAAGTAAAACACATGGTATTTCATCGCATATTGTGTGGTAAAATAAGAATAAATGTTATTATAGGAATTTTAATGAATTTTAAAATTCAAAATATTTATATTCTAACTATAAGTTTCATTTATATTAAATTAAATTTATATACGATGAATTATAATAGACATAATTTTTTGTAAAAACACTATTATTTTAAATAATCCACTTTTAAATACGCAAAACACATTGGTTATTGAAATATCGGTAAATACAAGTATTTAGGTTAGCAACACATGAATATCTTCCAAATTTATTGTCCTATTTCTTGTATGTAATACGTACTTACAGGTATCTTATTCGAAAGTTTTTATTTAACTGCTCATATTTATATTCCTATTCATATTTATTATGTTTCGCGTACTTATATATTGAATAAAATTAAAATAACAACAAACTATTATTTTTATTATTTAATATCTGTTAAAAATATTTCTAGTAATCTTTTATCATAATGATAATACTTTAATAAGGTTTAAAAATTATTTTTGTTATATTAAGACATTCGTAAATTTTACATTCTTTTGAGATACAATGCAGAATAAAATAATAAAAATACTTAGTTTCACACTTACGCAAGTGTGTTCGTGCGCCGTCGCAACAGGGGAGCGCGCGCTTATACAAGCTAGCTTATACCGTCGGCAGCTGGCTTCATGTATTGCCATTTGCCGTAGTTATTCGCCAGCTATCATCCCGATTGCCGCGTGCTATCACAACAGTCCCGAGATATCCTAACTAAAACATAATTTTGAGTAAAACCATGACATACAACTTATACTGTTAACTTAACTATGTGCTGTAATTTGTTTAATGGTACCAAAATGTAGAGTTTTGGGTTTCTAGTGCGCTTTCTTTTGGTAAACGAAATAAATCTTGCTGTTGGTTTCCGCAGTTTCTAACTTATACTTTAATCGTTTATTTGATTCGTAAAGTAATAACTATGCAACAATGTGGATTTTGTTCAATGTTATCGGGCCTGTTAAGAAGAGCGATGTGCATAAGCAGCAGACGAGGGAGCAGTGAGTCTTACTACAGAGAGCTCGGCGATCAAGACACATTGGTATGAATTTCTCTCCAATTTTAATTATAATGACTACCTTACTGTGCTCGTCGTATATTTGCGTGTTCCTCGTTCTCATAATAGTTTTATCGGGCGGTCGCGCCGTGTAGTACACAAGCTAATCAATGTGTTTATATGTACAACTTCTAATTGGAGTACACATGGCCGTATGTTGATCTGTCAAACAAGCATTTCACTTTTCCTAAGTTTTAATTTAATATGACATTTTATGTGTACTTAATGTCGTTACATTATTTTGATGTACAGACTGTTTTAGTATTTGGTTGTTTGATATGAGTGAAAGTAGATTTTCACTTAGTCATTAATTATCTCATATGTGTTGACTATACTTGCATATTTATGTTTGTTTTCAATAATTATAATCATCAATTCTTCTTCTAATGAAAATCAAAACTTAAATGTTTATTTCCAATGTCATATTATTCTTATTAAATGCAATATTTTATTTCTTTTACGCTTTCATTAAACTAAGTATCTTTTATAAAGATTATATTAGAACCTGCAATATTATTCGTATTATTTTTTTTAATAATCAATAATAATTATATACAGAATTTGTGGCTTATATTTGTGCTAATTTTAAAATAATTTTAATTCTAACATAGTTTTGAATGAAAATATTTTCTAATATCTATAATTATTTAAATTGTTACTATACTTTTTATAAAAATATAATGTTAAATTAATTACAATAAATCGTTTTCAGTACATAACTTAAATTATTTGTTAAAGTAAGAATGGATTTGACAAGATTTACTATATGTATTGACACAGTACAAAATATATAGAAAACGTATGCAAACCTGTTTTAAATAGGTACCACATGATCCATCTAAGTCCGCTATTCAGTTTAAATAATTTATATTATGGTTTCCATCCAACCCTCCATTTAAATCCTATTGATTTCAACCGAGCATTTTTACATTGCTAACGGCAAATGCTTTTAGATGTAGTTCAAGCTATCCGAGTCTATACAATAAATGTTTTGTAATATTCATTCTCTTTATTAAATACTTATGTAAGCAATAATTTTATTAATATTATTAAATTTCTAATTAGGTATGTAATGAATAAATATAATAATTTGTTATATTTTTGCTACACTCTGTGTACTTTATTTACTTAATTTCAATTATTTTTTAATTTTATTATTATAACTTTGTAATACTTCATATTTTATTCTACACAAAAATATTTTTTTTTAATTAATAACAGAACACAAAGCACAAACACATTTAATAAAAAATATATGGGAAATCATAATAATGCAATGCACATGAGCAAGAAATCAAGGTTAGGGTTTGCATCTATATGACAAAGTAAACAATATTTTAATTAATATAGTTTCTTTATATTATTCTTTCTCAATGAAGCCTAGTACAATCGATTTATAGTACCTTTATTCTAAAAAAATATGCGTTAAAATTTTTTACATTACCTACATTGTAAAACTAAAAATTAAAATAAATCCGCGTAAAAATCGGAAAAGATAGTTTTATTTAAAATTATCTATATTACAAATTATATCGTATGGAATCTAATTCGAACACGATTTCGTTGCGGTTTTGTTTTAATAATACTTTTATTTGTAATCTTCCTTTTTACTTCACCGACGTCCAACCGCGTTATTATATATCTATATACATAAAAATCAATTGCTGTTCGTTAGTATCGCTAGAAAATCAAAAACGGCTGAACCGATTTGAATTTTTTTGGTTTTGTTGGAGTTATATGAGGAATGGTTTAAAATTAAATTAACAAAAAAATAAAAACCGACTTCAAACAAAAGCACTAAAAAGTAAAAAATAACTGATTGGTAGTTTTCATTTACTATACATACCTAATCAAATATTTTCGAAATCTGTGCCAGCCCATACAAAGCAAAGCACACCGACTTCGAAAATATTTGATTAGGTATGTATAGTAAATGAAGACTACCAATCAGTTATTTTTTACTTTTTAGTGCTTTTGTTTGAAGTCGGTTTTTATTTTTTTGTTAAAAAGTTTTTATTTTTCCCTTTTTAGTGTAGACAGTAGTAGCAAAGTAAGAATTCTAAAGTGTTAGGCTTGTCAAACCAAACAAAATAAGCCAAAACTCAAAGTATCTACTATTAGTCGTTGAAGAGTTCCACCTATCCACCTTCTGGCCTTACCATCAGATCAGGTCAACAATACCGAACCACTGTACTATTAACGGAAATAGAAACACTTGCAAATTTTCAAGTCAATATGACAATTATAAGTAGGTTAAATTCATTATTAGCTATTTTTCCACCCTTAGGGGTGGTATTTTTGAAATTTAAATGGGACCAATCTGGAAGTATACCCTTTCAAACAAAACAAAAATTGTCCAAATCGGTTAATAAATGACGAAGTTCTGAGGTAACAAACATAAAAAAAAACATACAGTCGAATTGAGAACCTCCTCCTTTTTAAAGTCGGTTGATAAAAACAAATAACAGACGGTTTAGTCTAGTCAACAAGTGTCTTTTAGGTCAACTTTTTTCAGCAGTCTCGGAAAAATATGAACGAGTTATCTATCATTCGATTAGGAATGGCATGTAGATAATTTTTGAAAAAAATCAAGTTCGGTTTTTATTTTTTTGTTAATTCATATTTAACGTTCTGATTCCTATTTATAGATTTCGCAGAGATGAGATATTTTCCCGCAGTAAAAAGTATCCTATATGTTGACCCGGATAACCAGCTATCATCATACCAAATTTCATCAATCCGTCCAGTGGTTTTTCCGTGATTCGTTCACAGACAGACAAACAGACAAAAATTCTAAAAAGTAATCTATTCGGCCTCTGTATCGATAATAATGTCTTATTTTAATAAGATTTTGAAAGTATTTAATGTACACATTGGACTGAGAATTTTATTATATAGGTATTAGCAGAACCCGCTGCTTCGCCCGCGATTAAACTAAGAAAAAAATTTTTTTTCGCAATACATACTTTTTTATTATTTGCAAAAATAAGTTTATGTTTTATATTATTTCTTAAAGATAAAGGTATGGAAAACAAATTTAATTTTAGCGATCGTAACTGAATATCCATAATTTAAAAAAATGTTAAACGTAGGTATATTCTGTAAATAAATTTTCATTTTAGGTATTTAGCAAGCTCCACTACCTCTATTTTTTGCACATTTTTCTACTCCATTTGTCTAAAGTAAGAGTAAGTTAATACAATGACACAACTCGCATACAATGTTTACGACTTTAGAATCATGTAACTCGGCTAATATGGGCTTTTTAACTAAAATACCAACAGGCTAACATCTATGTTATTTTTAAAGACATCACATGTACATATATCTTTTTAAGTTACAAAGTGCCATTCTTATTTTGCTATAGCTTTTTGCCCGCGGCTACGCTCGCGTAGAATAAATAATTTGCTCAGTTTTAATTCCATTCATTCATTCAATTCCATTATTTTTTAAATCCAGTTAATTTGTCATATAGAATTTTAATACTATGTATTCGTTTATATAATCACTCTAGATTCACTTAACTTAGTCTAAGCTAAACAAACATCCACAAATATACCACATTGGTGGATGTTCTGTCTAGTAGTGGGTTCTGTTAAAGTGTCATTGTGAGAAGCAATCATGTATTAAGTCTATGCTTGCTACTTTTAACGACTGGCCCTGAGATATATTAATGGTTATGTCAAAGCCAACTTTAAGTAGGAACTACAACAAATTAAATTCAAACGTAGTCAGAGGTTATCAGTGGTATTCGAGATATGGATACTTATTCTCCCCAAGCAAATCCAGCAAATACGGTGGAGGCTCTAATGTTTAATGAATTACTTACAGTCTAATCCCGTTACTTAACTTAGGTGACTTTTTAATTACAGGTGTGCTTACCTTCAGAAGGAGGATATAGATAACAGGATACTCTCTAGCTAGGTTTTTTCTCTCGCGCTCTATATCTGTTGTTGTTGTCATTTTTGTGGCCAGCCGAGAAGTTATACATAATTTTTCTCTGGAATCGGAATAATTTCAGTTCTCTACTTTATATCCCACAGAGTAAGTGCGTACTTACGGAGAACTTAAGCCATGTAACATGTTACTCTGTTTAAATATATTCAAGCAACTCCAATTTTACCGCCGATTTTTCTCCCATATAAACAGCACAACTCGCTTTAAAGGGATGAATTTTGAAAAAATAATAATATTTGTATCGTTTTGTTTTTCATTTTAAAGGTAAATACCACTTTCCGTGCATTAATTACAGAGTTTCATACAAACTTTCATCCCCCATTCTACCTCCTTATGGGATTGAATTTCTAAAAATGCTAAAACATGTATTTATTTAATTGTATTGAAAAGCATTAATACCAAGTTTCAAGTAATTCTGATTATAAATAAATTTTTGCTATATAAACGTTATTGCCCCCTTTTACCAATTTAATGGATGAATTTCCAAAAAAATATATATGTAAATCTTGTTTTTTATTTTAAAGCTAAATACCACTTTGCATGTATTTCAAATAATAAATGACAGAGTTTCATACAAACTTTAAACGCCTATTTTATCCACTTAGAGGATAAATTTCGAAAAATCCTTTCTTAGCGGATACCTACATCATATAAGGAATACGTCCTCCAAATTTCATGTATCTACGGCCAGCGGTTTAGGCTGTGCGTTGATCGATCAGTCAGTCAGGACAAAGCATTTTATGTATGTATAGATTTCTTATCCTAAATTATTTTTAAACAATAAGTTGTAAAAGTTTTTGTAATCGCCTCTAAAAAACCTGTATTTTGATACCCCACTCGATTTTTTTTCAAGACACAAGTTGGCATTTAGGATCCGCTATTATGTTTTTTGAGGTTATACTTCTCTTGGCACGTTTGGAAAAATTTATCTGGGTAAAATTTTTATGATGCGCGCGCACACCGACAGCCATAAAGCGAAACGATGAAGTTAGCTGAAAGCGACATGAAAAAATAAATAAAATGAAAAC